TGGGGAGGGGCTTGTGTCCCCCTCGGGGCTTTGGGTGTATGATTGACTGCAGGTGTGCTTGTCTTGTGGCAGCAGAAAAAGGATTCGATAGTGGTCAACCCATCTCTTAAACATGGTAATCAGATCAACATTATAGATTCGAATGATAAAAGTATCATTATAAATGAAAATGTTATCCTTCACCAAGTGGCTGAAATTAGGCACACTAATGCCAGGCCAGCACACAAAGGTGGGCTGGTGACATTCTACAATAAAAGCTTATTCAGTCTCCTGACTAGACTGAATACTCCTGGAGGGTCCTGAAGTGTGTGCTATTTATCTTTGTGTGCTGAGTGCCTTGTAGATGGGTGACCATATATTCTGGTTTACCCAGGACAGTTGTGGTTAGTCTACACTTGGCATGCCATCTAGTTAGTGTTAAAGGACACTTTCCTCTTCCCCAGATAGGCCAGGTGCAGTGGCTTATGCCTGTAATCCCAACACTTTGGGAGACCACAGTGGGAAGATCACTTGAGGCCAGGAGTTCCAGATCAGCCTAGTCAACAAAGCAAGACTCTGTCTCTTTTTAAGTGTCCCAGTTTGTATGACAGATTCTATCACGACCTTTTCCATGTAATAGGCACTCTCAGAAAATATCTTCTGAATTGAATAGAATAATTTAGAACATAATGAAGTAATAGTTTTGCTGAAATTTAAAAATGTTGAATATATTTTTCTATGGAGGAAGTGTACTAACATGTACTGAGCCAAGAGGTAAGGAGAAACATAAAAGGTGATTACCAAATAAATGCATTCATCTTAGTCTGTGAAAGAACACCATATGGGAAATCGTGAGATAGATGTGGTCTCAAACAAATTTCTTAACATTTCTTTCTCTTGTTTCCTTCATGTATAAACTAGAAGTCATAACTCCTTTATACTATTGGCTGTATTTTGAGTTATTTTGAAAACCAGTGAGATGAGATGCAAATACACAATTTTTAAAAAAGGAAACTATACAGGAAATAATCTAGGTCTGTTTGCTAAGTCGTTCCCAGTTATTTTTCAACTCATCATTTCTACTCTAGAGGGAACTGAAGTGGGAGCAGGGCCACTGAAGTGCAGAGCAGTGGCCCCAGGATTGAGTGAGAAAACCTGGATTCTGACTTTCCTCTGCTATTCGACAGCTGTGTGATCTTGGACCATATGTAACCTCTGTGTTCTTTATCTGTAAAATAAAGATGACTAAGCTAAAGCCATCATTTCCAAAAAATGAGAAAATTTACTGAGTCATTTTAAGAGGGTTTACTTTAAAATTATTATTATGCACTCTAGAGTATAAGATTATGAAGCCCTATGCTAACGGTCATGAGTAGGAAGTGGGGAGGGAATCCCTTCGTTTTAGAAGAGTGAAAGAAACAGGAAATAAGGACTTTCGTTAACCATGGATACAAACAGGTTCAATAAATATAGTGTACAAATTCCATCTGATTGTGCAAGGTAACACGCTGCGTAGGAATCCTTTAAAATCTGTCTTCTATGCAAGAACGCAGGTTCAGATAGAGGGTTGAGACCCCTCATTTTCTCAGTATCGCCAGGGCTTGGGCAGAGCTGACACATGGTAGGCGCTTAAAACATTCTGCGGACCAAGCGGATCAGTTACACCTCTAGCACGACCGTCTCCATCTGACTTAAGAACAGAGGTGACCACAATGTCTCCATTCCCGAGCAAGGGGGACACACACACACATACACACACACACCCCTCCCCGGCACCACGCTATTGGGGCTGCGGGGAATCCTGCCTGAAAGTCTCTGGACTTCCCGGCTTTTCTGCTCTCAAAGCCCCTCCTAGTTTCTTCCCGGCTGTCCTGGGCCCCAATCGCTTAGGCAAATGGCCCTTCACTGGCGCCTCTGTTAAAACTGACCGGGAGATTCGAGGTACCCGCTCCACTGTCCGCCTGCGAGCGGGCAGTTCTCAGTTCTCCGGGCGCTGAAGGGAGGAGGGACGCCAGACCCCTCCGAGAGGTGACCCAGAGAGGGCGAGACCCAAGCAAGCGAAGAGCTCCGGGAGCTGAAACCAGAGTGCAGGACACTGCAAATTCCCGCCCCGTGGCGCAGAAGGACCGCCTCGCTCCCTGCAGGGGTGGGAGCACGGCAGGGACCCTTCTCCCCAGGTTTGCGCCGGGAGCGCAGAGCCTGAGCGGAAACAACCCTTTCGGTAACAAGTACTCGCTCCGCTGGAGACCCCGCTCTTGGAAAGCGGCGGGTCGCTGCTCCGCAGACCTGAACTCCGGTCCAAGCGAGGCGTTTCCACCGCTCGAGAGGGGTTAGAAAGCATTTCCACCTCAAAAAAATCTCATTTGATGGTCGCAGCTAGCCAGCAAGGGCACGGCTGGGGACCTAAGTCTAAGATTTGAACTCAAGGCTTCCGACGCCAAAGCCCCCCCAAGATGTCCTTTCTCTACGATGTAGGTAGAGTGCGACTGTCCGCAGGGAGAATTCCACCAGGTGATAAAGTGCTGGCAGTTTGTGCCTTAAGGCTTGTTTCTACCCGGGGTCGCCCTACTTTCTGCCTCTAGCACTTGGAAGGGGAGAACCAGCGAGCTGCCAGTATCCCCTGGGACGGGTGGAGCTCGAACCGCGGAAATGCTCTAAGTCCAGGGTCTCTCGTGGGTGTCCGATGGTAACTGTAAATACCCATCGACCAGGCGCTCGCCTGCACTTCCGGGGTAAAGGTACAATAATATTGTTTTCCTAGGAAGCCCTGGAATGGCATGTCTTATAAGCATTAAAATATTTGACTCATTGATGCTTCTTCTACAGGTGTCCTGAGAAAATAATAGAAAACACTGACAAGGATGAAAATTAAAGGTACAAGAATAAGGCCTTATTTACATTGATGGGAAAAAAGATAATATCTAAAATATAAATACAGTCTATTATGGTCTATCCATAACATGAAATATTAGATTGCTATTTTCAATTATATTTGTTTTAAAATTCTAAATATGAACTAGACATGATTATGATAGAAATTTAAACATATACAAACTCACATATACACTATAAGCTCATATAAAAATAAAGAGAAGAAGGTGGACGAAAATGTTATCCCTGGATGGATTTTTTCCTTTAACTTTTCTTCACTTTTTCCAAGGTGCCCATGATTACTTTTATCAGAAAAATAAAATCCAAATAAATGTATGGGTCATCACAAGATTTTGAGATCTCTAAGAGCAAAGGATGTCTATTTCAAAAAGAAAAAGAAAAGATTTATTGTCTTGGTTTACAGGCTAGTCTGGTCCTGCAATTCTGTGAACGATCTGGGCGACTTCTCCGATCTGGTGAGAAAGAAAGAGAGAGAGAAAGAAAGGAAGAGAGAGAGAGCGCGCGCTGAAAACATTTGGGTATTGCTTTGATGTAAAGATTAAATGTTACCATGCATAAGAAATCATTACTTGGTAGCTGAACGATCAGATTTGCTGAGATTTTGCATAAATCTTTGTAAGCAATTTTGCACCCATTAGCCTGGGGAGATGAGTTGGGTTTATCTGGATTTCAGGAGATAATAATATCCAAACAGCTATTGTAACATTGAATTCACATAAGAAGGTTTAAGAAGCATTTGAGGCCTGTGAGATGGCTCACACCTGTAATCCCAACACTTCGGGAGGCCGAGGTGGGGAGGTGGGCACATTGCTTGAGCCCAGGAGTTCAAGACCAGCTTAAGCAACATGGTTAAACCCCATTTCTACAATAAATAAATGGCCAGGTTTAGTGGCATCTGTGGTCCCTCCTACCCAGGACGCTGAGGTCGGAGGATCAGTGAGCCCGGAGAAGAGACTACAGCCATGATCTGGGCACTGCACTCCTATCCGGGAGACAGAGACAGACCCTGTCTCAAAAGAAGAAGGAGGAGGGGGGGGAGGGGAGGGAGAGGAAGGAAGGAAGGAAGGAAGGAAAAAGAAAAAAAAAAAAGATCTGAAATCCCCAAAAGAACACTAAAGAAATCTCACTGTGATTAAAACACGGCTTTTAAACCTCCTTCGATTCTGTGCTGACAGCAAATCACGTTTCCTTGATCCAGGCCCCCTGAGTCGTAACAGCAGGGGCTGGATCTGTTGGCGCTATAACCGTGTTGTAACCACTGTACCACACTGCCCCATTCACTCGGTGCCCACTGTATCCGAGGGCCTTTTCAGGAGATTTGGTGCGATTCAAATCTTCCCAGCCCTGCGGCGGGCGCCGCGTTTATACACGAACGCACGCTGGCACGCTCCAGGCAATCCGCTTTAAGGAGATACACGTGAGGAAGAGAAGGAACATGGGGACGCCAGGGCAACGGTAGACCCCCTCTGACCCCTTGGCACTCAGCGATGGCCTTCCCTTCTCTCCCACCATTCTGGAAGCCCTCTAAAAGGCCGAGGGCTCCCTAGATGTAGCCCCTACACCCATTCCTCGGTCTTGGGACTGAGACGCTGCTCCTGGGAAGTGGCGGGTAGAGACTCCGCAGACCTGGACTCGGTTCGAAGACAGGCTTCCACCTCAGTATAGGCGGTCCGTCCTCTGCGCTCGCTCGTAAGATCCCAGTGGGCATCTCAAATCCCGCGAGCCCCCAGCTGTCTCTGGCTTAGCTTTCCTCCGCCATAAGAATGCAGAGTTGAGCTAAGACCAAGCTGCATGGACCGGATCGGGTTGCACAGAAACGACTCCACCCCCTATCCCCACACGTCCACCAGGAGGGTCCCCGTGGACCCTAGGTTGACCTCGGAAGTTCCTGGTAGTACCGTATTGACGAAGATCCGAGCCGCGCGCAGCACTCTCTCTCCACGTTTTCTTATCTTTTGAGAACCGTCAATAAGAACCAAACCTCCAAGGAAGGCGACTGCGGACCGGAGAGGATTAGACGGGCGCGCGGGAAGAAAGCGCTGGGGGAGGAAGGTGCAGGGTTAGCACGTGGTTTCTGCTAGAACCAATGGGAGGCTACGGTCGCGTCACCCGGCCCTGGACCCGGGCCCGCCGGGATGGCCCAGAGGAAGGCGCGGTCTGGGACTCTGGGCGTCTGTCCCAGAGCTTGGGTTTGTCTGCGGACCCTGCAGCGACAGGACGGGAAACTCGTGGTGCGGCGCCTCAACAGGACCAGGCACTCCTCGGCCCCGCCCCATCCGCCTTCGGGATGCTGCTGAGCCCGGTCACCTCCACCCCCTTCTCGGTCAAAGACATCCTGCGGCTGGAGCGTGAGCAGAGCGGTTCCGCGGCTTCTCCTCACCCGCGGATGCGGAAGACCCCGGAAAATTTTCAGTACCTGCGAATGGATCGGGAGCTGCGAGGGTCAGAGGTTCACAACGCTGGTGGCGGTGGAGGTGACAGAAGGCAGGATGGATCGGAGCCTCCTGGGAGTCCCTGTGAGGCAGTCTTGGAGATGGACGGGGAACGGATTGGGGAGCCACGTGAGTAAGCGCTCAGGTCTTGTGTCCTACAGGGGAAATATGGGTGGGTGGGGAGGGGGCGTGATCCACGGTTGCGTGGGGAAAACGCGCCTCCTATCTCCTGGGTTCGAGACTCTCTCCCCATTTTCTCTCACTTGAGGAGTTCAAAAAAAAAAAAGGCTTCTGAACCCCATTCCCACCCTCTCCTGATAACCAGTGTGTTTCACACGCCCCTAACGAAATTAAGGCCCTGAATCTTAAGGATTCACTTTTCCGAAATCCACTCCTCTGATTCCCACAAACGCATCGCTCCCACTCGCAGTCACAGTGCCCAGAACCTCCACCTTCTCATCTCCATAGCGAAACCCTCCGCAGAGTCTTAGCGGTCCCAGTCACCACGGCGCTTCCCTGTCATCACCCTGGTATCTCTCTACCCCAAAACCGTTTGCAAAAGAATGTGGCCATCAAAGCAGTGGAACCCTCGTGGCTCTGAGGCCACTCCTAACTAGGCCCTTTCTTGCGGGCCTGGCCACGGCCGCCTATGCCTCCTCATAGATTCTTCTTCTGGAAGACGGGAGCTGGGGACTGGATAGCATTTGATTCTTCCCAAGTGGAAGGCCCTGTTGGCGCAGAGTTCTCCACGTCAGGGAGAATGTTAAAGGCCACCAGGATTTCCTCTGCCCTGGGACACGTCTCTGGTCGAGTCTCGTCTCCTAAATCCGAAGGCGCAACCACACGCCAGGCTGCGGAGAGGCCCACGCACCTGTGTCCAGCAGCTGGTAGGGAAGGGGCTGGCGGGGAGCTGTGTTGCATCGATCCGGAAGGCTTTGGCTGCAGAGGCCGGACAGTTGGAGGGATGAAAACGCCACCTTCCTCTCTCCAAACCTCAGCACCACGCTCGGCCTTCTCAACGCCCGGGCCCCAGGTAGCGCCCCGCAGGACAGACCTCCTCTGCCAGACTGTGCCGTGACGCCTTCATTAAAGGCACAAACTAACGAAATAAATCAAGGGGCTAGATCGGAGTTATTCACTGGCTTGCAGGCCAGTTATTCACTAATTCCAGTAGCCGGACAACATTATCTGCTGTGTCTGCCAAGAAGCTGATAGGTTTTCTGCAGCGGATTCTAAATTCTCTTGGCTCTGGGCAGCCAACTCGGTTATCACTTCGGCTCTGCTGACAAAGGATCACGTTCCTTCGACCACCGCAGTCTCCTCGAAGCCCATGGTATTTGCGGAGCCTTCCTCCTCCCCCTGGAAACCAAATCCTGGGCGCATCTCTTCCGCTGCAGCCGTGGACGCTGCCGAGGAGGGAACCAAGGCCGGCTCCAGGAACTGAGCCCCGGGGCTGCGGTGGCAATCCGGATGGGAAAGGCACTTTCAGTGGGCTTCACGCCCTTCTCCATCACAACCGTCCCACCTCACCCTCAAGAACTCCAGGACTGTGACCAGGAGAGCGCAGAGTGCTGGTGTGTCCTGCAGTTCTGTGCAGCCCCAGCGCCTGCGTGGTCTGTGACTTTCAAATGGGGTCTTCCTTGCTCTGCACCCTGGCTGAAGGTCAGTTGTTCCCTTTCCTTGTGCTAAGAAAACAAACCCTCCTCAGGAGTTTTCCTCTTTGCTAGGGGAGATGGCCTCAGTTTATCTGAGCACAGGCATCTCTGAAGGAAGTCGTTCTTTACTCAAACTTTAAATACCAAACAGCTCCATCCCTCAGGAGATCATGCCAGTGCCTTGGGTATTAGGAGTCTGGTTTCAATCGCAATGGCTCTAAATAGGCCTGTCCTTGTCCCCTCTTGCCATGAACTTGCACCCCCTCCGTGCTCCTGGTTTTCTCCTGGCATGAGATCCCATGAAAACTCAGCGTTTCCTTTCTATCCACCGTTAGGGTCAAACGCGGCTTAAACCCAGACAGTAGAGAGGTGAGAAGGGAAGAAAATGCTGCCTCTTGGTGGGCACAGTCTCAGCTGTAGAGGTCGCCCTGGGTGAATGGAGGACTTCAGGGTGAAGCCCACACCACCTACTTGCCAGAAAGACCTTAAAGGAGGGAGAGGCTACTTTTTAAGAAGCCAAATGCGGACCTCAACTTTATGCATCTCTCAAAGAGAACTTCAGTTTCTGAGCCTAGAATCAGGAGCCAGGAAATATTTTGTTTTCATCATATATTGTTAATTTGGGTTAAAAGCATCACATCCAAGAAAGCTGGGATGCATCCCTGGTGCTGGTGGAGTACTTCATCAGGAAGACAAGAGTGTGCGCAAAAGTGGGGTGAAGGCAGGAGACACTCAAGGCTCCTGCTCCTAGACTTGGAGCCGGGTTTCGTGCAGTGTGCTTGGGGCTGCAAAGGAAAATGAGGCAGATGGGAGCCTCCGGAGAGCCTGTCACCGAGTCCGCACCTTCTTGGCACCCAGCCTTCTCTCAGTTTTTCTTTTCTTACTTCCTCTTCATCCTCTTCCTCCTCCTCTTCTTCCTCCTCCTCTTCCCCTACCTGTTTCTTCTCCTTCATTCTTTACTTCCAAGAAGGGTCCAAAGTCTCCCCAATCTGATAGTCACCCCCACGCACACTTATTCCTCACAGCGAACGTTTACCAAACTGGGCCACCATGCACACACATTCTAAGAAGCAAATGGAGCTGCCTTAACCCTTTATCCAGAGTTTACCTTTTGGAAAAGGACGCACACACCGGGGACCACAGGGCCTCACAATTTCCGTTCCAGAAGCACCATATAAAAGTGGCAGAGCATGGAAGGAAAGGACATTGAGACAGCCCTGGCACAGGGTTGGGGGCGCAGTAGGAGGGAGGAGGAGGGCGCAGGGTGAAGCCTTCCAGGGAGAGGGGAGTCTTGAAAACTAAGTAGGAACTGCTCAGGTGAGCCTTAGGCTGGGCGCTGATGTGTCCCTTCCTGTGCTTTTAGAGCCCGGCCTGAGCGCAGCCTCACCCCTCCGCGGCGGGACCAGGGTGCCAGAGCGCGGCGTTGGCAACAGCGGCGACAGCGTGCGGGGTGGCCGCTCGGAGCAGCCCAAGGCGCGGCAGCGGCGGAAGCCGCGCGTGCTCTTCTCGCAGGCGCAGGTGCTGGCCCTGGAGCGGCGCTTCAAGCAGCAGCGGTACCTGTCAGCGCCGGAGCGCGAGCACCTGGCCAGCGCGCTGCAGCTCACGTCCACGCAAGTCAAGATCTGGTTCCAGAACCGACGCTACAAGTGCAAGAGACAGCGCCAGGACAAGTCGCTGGAACTAGCCGGCCACCCTCTAGCGCCGCGCCGGGTGGCGGTGCCGGTGCTGGTGAGAGATGGCAAGCCCTGCCTGGGCCCCGGCCCGGGCGCTCCCGCCTTCCCCAGCCCCTACGGCGCCGTGGTGTCGCCCTATTCCTGCTACGGAGGGCACACCGGAGCACCCTACGGCGCAGGCTACGGTGGCTGCTACGCGGGCGGGCCCTCGGGTCCTGCGCCACACACATCACTGAGCAGCGCGGGCTTCGGACCCGGTGGCCCGAGTGCCACTCCGCAGGGACATCTGGCAGCCACGCTGCAGGGCGTCAGGGCCTGGTGAGGCGCCTCCGCCTTACTCTGCCCACCAGGGCCAGAAGCTCGGTGCCCTCCCCTCCTCCCGCAGGTCGTGGCAAGGACAAGGGGACGCGGCGGTGGAGGGTAGCGGCTACTCAATGGCGCTTCTTTCCGGGGCGGTCTCTGCAACTGCGATCTGCACCAGAGTCACCCAGCTAAAGGCCCTGCCTCGGACGTTCTTCCCTCAAAAGGCGACCTCTCCACCGGTCACCCACCAAGCTACACAGGGACTGAAGAAAACGGCGGCTGGCTGGCAGTTTAGGGTGTGGGAGCAGTACTGAGTGAGGCACGTGACCTTTGGGACTTCAACACCAGGGGCCTGACAGGCTCTTGAATGTGTACGCATTGGCCGCGGGGCATTGCCGTTGAATGGAGATGGTGATCTAGCGGGCCTACCAACCCCCAATTAATGACAGCAGGAGCGGGAAGAAAGAGAGGAGGACCAGAGTGCGGAAAGGGAGCTGAAAAGCCGGGAACTTGAGGATCCAGGAGGTTCACGGAGAAGTACCTGCCTTGAGCCTCCTTCTGTGGGGTTTAAACATCCGGCAAGGCTGCTCCCGTGGGGACTCTGTTAATCCAGAGGAATGCTCTTTTCTGGCCACAGTTGCTCTCCTGGAAGTAGGCTCCACATTCCGGTCCCTTTCACTATCATGCATTTTATCTCTTTGTACAGCACAGCATCTCCAATAAATACGCGGCCTAAGTGTGTGTGTGGTTGCGTGTGTGTAGCCCGCTAGAACAGATATTTGCCATTACCTTGAAACAATTTCTAATTAAAGTAGAAATGAAGCCCAGAAGTGCCAGGTAAACAAAACCGATTCAGTCCTGGAAGTAGGTTTCCTGATTTGTTCCCTCGCACTCCTCTCTCCCTCTTTGGAGGTTTTCTTTGGCGCATCAGCAGTTTCTAAGTTCTGTGCCAGGTAAACAGACCTCCAAGTGCCCCCCAAAGTCATAAAAAGATGAGTAGAAAGCCTGACCTTTAGGCTTTCTAAAATTGTGAAATTTTGACATCTTCACCCCCATATATCTGAGGTCACGCAAATTCAAGAATGAAAACAGACTCATTTTATTCATACGGACATGGGATCAAATACAAAACTGTGTGTTTGGTAAGACAGATTTTATAGAAAATTTAGTAGGAAAAGCTGGCCTTTATTCCCCCTTGGATTGCATTTTTAAATAATGAAAACTCTAATTATTCATCCCGCAGGACTACTGACTTATCAAAGGTTAAATTCTCTTATTTGATAAATTCCCATATTTAATTCCAATGTACTACCCCTGAATTTTCTCATTTCTCATATGGCCTGGTTGTTTTACTAAAGTGAGAAGCAGACTGCTTGAGGGTATGTAAACTATACCTGACTGTTGATAGCTTTCATCCCTTAAAGTGTATATTTGTTTAAGCTTAAAAAGAGTAGTAATTAATTTTTTTTACTATCATTTTCTTACGTTTTCTCTCCTTTGGTTTTTTACCACGTATCTCTTTTCTCTTTCTTTCCTTTCTTTCTTTCTTTCTTTCTTAAATTGAGCTAGGGTCTTGCTCTGCTGCCCAGGCTGGGGTGTATTGGCATGGTATTATCATAGCTCACTGGCGCCTGCATCTCCCAGGCTTGAACCATCTTCCCTCCTCAGCCTTCCAAGCAGCTGGGACAATAGGTGCATGCCATCACACCCAGCTCATTTTTTTGAGTTTGTGTAGAGAGAGGGTCTCCCTGTGATGCCCAGGCTGGCTCAAGTGATCCTCCCGCCTCAGCTTCTCAAAGTCTTGGGATTACAGGTGTGAGTTATCGAGCCCAGCCCTTATTTATCCATGTTCACTGCTAATAAAAGTGTGTTCAGAAACACTTCACAGTATCGTTCTTCCCCTTCCCCTCCACCCCTGCCCCACCAATGGAGACTTGTTCTGTTAGCCAGGTAGAGTGCAGTGGTGCAATCTCGGCTCACAGCAACCTCCACTTCCCAGGTTTAAGCAATTCTCCTGCCTCAGCCTCCTGAGTAGCTGGGATTACAGGCTTCTACCACCATGCTCGGCTAATTTTTGTAGTTTTAGTAGAGATGAGGTTTCACCATGTTGGCCAGGCTGGTCTCGAACTCCTGACTTTGTGATCTGCCTGCCTCAGCCTCCCACAGTGCTGGGATTACAGGCATGAGCCACCGTGCCTGGCCCCAACAGTATCTTTCAATTATACTGTTGTGCCCCAGGATTAAAAAGTGATTATACATATTTTAAATTTAGGAATATCAGTGAGTCAATTTGGTCAACAAAACTGAGGGAAAAAAAAAAGTGGAGATTATATTGAAAATCTCCATCTCAAGAGAATTGTCATAGAGTGCTGCCAGTCTTCTTTCACTTAGGTCATTCCTAACAGGAGCAGCGGTCTCACCCTCAGACACTTGCCTTAGATCCATGACAGGTGAGTTTCAGTCCAACGCTGCCACTGAGTTATAATCTGTTCAGTCCTCAATGGTTAAGTGGGTTTTATTAAATGTTTCTATTATCAAATTCTAAAATGCTATATGTTAATTTTTTTAAAATCCTCTAGGTAAGATATCTACCCCAAAAATATAGGTCACTGTAGTTTGGATTGAGAAGTACTTGGTACTGAGTAGGAAATTAATCAATGTTATTTCCTTTAACCTCTCACCCTCTCCTAACATAGAATAGTAACAGAAGAAGCAGTTACTAGGTATGTGATGTTTCAAATAACCTTGTCTCTGGATTTAGGCTGAATGAAAGACTCCCATGCCTTCTCTACACCTCTGTGACCACAGGGAGAGGTACAGGAAGGTCAGGGGTGGTTGGGTCAAGGGTCAGAGTGAACGGGGAAAGAAAGAGGCTCAGTTTAATCATCAGTAACTCAGTTATTGCTGAACATTCCTGGTAGGGACACAAGAAAAAAAAATAAAATGTGGCTGCCACTCTCAAGGAATGTATTTTCTAATTGGGAAAGCAAAGACCAACTCGTGGAAGTTATCTAAAAATACAAGGTGGTTTATGCTGCATGTCAAATAGGACAGACATTAAGTTCACTCTAGACAGAAAGAAAATCCGGCCCAAGCTGGGGTGCTAGAGAAAGCTACATGGAGGATGGGGGTTCATACTGGTGATTACCATGGGAATGACACTGTTTACTGGGAGAGGCTCCAAGAAAGCTCTAGGACTTTGGAATAGAGAAAAGAAACAGGTATATGCCAAAGCCAGAGCCATATTTTACAGAAGTTTGAGATATAATTCAAGCTAGCTCTAGAACAACTGCATTCAGTTGGCTGAAGGGGTGTGGGAGGCGGGAAGGGGTGTCAGTTACATGTACACCCAAGATCCTTTAGATGTTCCATTTGCCTGTCACATTTTTTGTTATGCTCCCCAGATTGATGTGGTATCTATATTTGGCTGGCCAAAAAAAAAAAAAAAAAAAAAAAAAAAAACCTATAACAAAAACCTTGTCCACGTACAATCCACCTGGCTTTTCCTTCAGACCACAGCAAGGAAGTCTGAGATTCACAGGACAGCAAAGAATTCATTCCTAAAGGATAGTGAAGGAAAGCTCTCTTCCCCCATCTCCCCACTCTCTGCCTGTCACGATCACTTTAAAACGCATGGCTCTCCCAGCTCATCAGGCCCATCCCCAGCTGCCTGTCTTCCGTCTCCATAATCTCTCCTCTGCACTGAAAGCTGCCCCTTTTTGTGTGTCTCTTACCGACAACTGCTTATCCTCTGCAGAGCTTTTACCAGGGAGCCGCTCTGTAAGCAATCAGCCTCTTATCTCCATCGCTCACTCCAGTCACCTCTTAATGTTCACAAGTTCCCCAAATGGGAAGTAATTGACCTCTAAACAAAACAAAAAAGCTCTCAGAGAGATAGCAGAGGTTCCTTTCCTGACTGTCCCAGGGCTAGGGGTCTCACCTAGGCCAGGTGGATAAGTCAATAAAGTTGCAGACTTCCTGGCTCCCTGTCTTTCCTTTCCCATCCCAGCCCCACTCCAAGCCAGCTCCATCCTGATACCATCTGCAAGGCAGATGGAGTCTAATTCTAGATCACAGACTTGCCAGAGATTCCTGGTATTTATTTTTTGTAATGTTGTCATTATTATGATTAACGTAATCATTATTATGATTTGAGGATGGCATATTTAAATCTTTTAAAATTCCATTTGAAATGTGTTTACAACCCTCAACGTTTATACCAGCTCTTTATTATTTTACTGGCTCACCAACTGGCCCTTTTTATTTTTCACAAAACAAGGGACCTCTCAGGCTTAAAAGCTGTGCTCCTCCCTGCCCTTCCCCTGAAGAAGAGTCCAGAGACAGAGGAGGTAGAAAAACTTGAGTTCGGACTTGTTTCATGCTAGTCCCAGTTCCACTGAGAACATGCTCTGTGACTTTGAGTAAGCCTCCTAACCTCTCTGGGCTTCATTCTCCACAGCTATAAAATTGAGAAGATGGATCTCTGAGGCTGCTGTTCTAATGTGGGATGGCTCCCTATTGATTTCAGATGCCTTTAATTTTTTAAAATTATGAGATAGATCATAGATCCAGAAGACTACATAAAACATATGTACAGTTTAAAGAATACCTGTAAAGTGAACACAGACGGAACTCCCACTTAAAGCAAGAAACGTGGGATGCCAGCTCCCCAGCAGCCCTTCTTCCCACACACCTTCCAGAATGCCATCCCTTTCCGCCTCCTCCCGCCAAAGGGGGTACCAGCTACTTTGACTTCTGTTTAATAGTAATAAAGAGAATAATGAACAGGCTTCTCTTCATGGATTGACCAGGCTTCTCTCTTTGTATTTACCCATATGAACACAACTCTTAACAAATATGGTTTAATTTTGCCGGATTTTGAATGTTCTCTAGGTAGAACCATACTACATATATTCTTTTCTTTTTCCATTTTTTGTTTGTTTGCTTTTAGACACGCTCTCACTGTGGTTGGAGTGCAGTGGTATAATCATAGCTCACTGCAGCCTTGAACTCCTGGGTTCAAGAGATCTTCCTGCCTCAGCCTCCCAGGTACCTGGGACTACAGACACACACCACTGCACCTGGCTAATTTTTTTAAAATTAATTTTTTGTGTAGAGACAGGGTCTGGCTATATTGCATAGGCCGGTCTCAAACTCCTGGCATCAAGCAATCCTCCTGCCTCAGCCTCCCAAAGTACTGGGATTACAGGCAGGAGCTACAGCACCCAAATGTGCATGTATTCTTTCATGACTTGCTTCCTTTAGTTAACTTAATATTGTGAGATTTGTTCATACTGTCGAGTGCAGCTTCTGTTTGCTCGTTTTCATTGCTACATTGTGTCCAATTGGATGCATGTATCTCAATGTATGTATTTTACTGAAAACGTAGGGAGTTTCCAAGTGCAGATTGTAACAGATTTGTGTTGGTGGTACCCTGTCACAGGTCCAGCGGAATTCCGTAGCTGGAATATGTCCTGGGCTGTCTTGCACTTTTGTGACTTGCTGGCAAGCATCCATCCTCTGATAGATTTCTATTTATATAACAAATAACAGCCTTGCACTGGCATATCCTTTGAACTATGGTATGATCGCGTTTGGTACTTACCGTCCATGCAAGGGGGAATATATTACTACTCCCATCCACAGAGTAAGAGTCCAAGGGTCAGAAAGGTGACAGCAACACTGTGAGTTAGTGACAGAACTGGGAATTGACCCTGGGCCCTCTG